AGACAAACTTTAAAGAATAATTTGTGACTTTATGTCTGTACACAAAATTCTTGCCAAATCCACTGTTGTTGTTGCTGTTGCACAGTTCCAGTCCAAAGCAGTTGCGATTACAGTAAGAACCGGTGTTTGGTACATTCCTTCTCTTCCTGGTTTTGTTTGCAGGGACTGGAACGGCTCGGGTACAGACTGGCCTATCAGCACCACCGGTCCAAACATGCCTGCTGCTACCAAAACATGAAGTCTAGCCACAACCGAGCCACCAGGACGAGCAGGAAGGAAGCAGGCTCGATCAGGAACAGAGGGAGAAGTTTCACTCACACTTCCCAGTCATTTCAGGGCAGAGTGTCATGACTTTAGAAAACCGGCTCACAGTGAATAAACACTTCCGTAGATGTTTTGCATGGCAGACATTCCTCATCAAGTTCAAAGGTGAATCTCATTAAGCAGCAGCAGATTAATCATCCTAAGACATAAATGTCAAACAATATGAATATTTAACAGTACACATGGTCGATGTTTCCTATGGGACACGACCTGCCTGCCAGTAATGCCTCAGACATCCACACATTCCCTCCCCCAGATGTAAACTTGTGTCTTTATGTTTCAACACTACCTTGCTGGCATGCCTGTACTGGATGGCATGCATTCTTCACAGTATGGTCTAGAGATGGTGATCGCATCCCGTGTGTGCGGGCACACGTACACCAGATGCAGTGATAGCCGCACAGGCTGCGTCTGCCGCTCAAACTGCAACAGTATAAACAGTTTCTGTAAAATTTTGTAAACAACCAGCGTCCTCAGAACGACACGGAAGATTGAAATCTTAATTTGCCATTCAGACACCTGACGATGGCCGACCGCTATCTCGGCAGGTAAAGGGAGGGCAGGTGGATACGTGATGAGCTGCGGCAGGACAGTGTGAGCGAGGGCAAAGGGACGATGTTAATATGCACGTCCACAAAGACCTGATGGACAAACACTGTGTGGATGATGGCAAACACAATGAAATCCATAAAATTATAGACAAAGATAAACTTAACACGTAGACATACATGGCATTTCAGGTACAAGTACACAATTTAAATTAAAATTATTTATCGGAAAATTCAAATGAATTATTTTAAATGAATGCAATTATATAAATATAAAGTTCTACTCTTTCTTCTCTTATAGTAAAGATAAGGAGAAAACCTCTCTGCGAATGAAGAACTGTAACGGTTATTTTGCATTTTAAGGAAACCTTATCTCAAACTTAGACCAGCAGATCCACATATATATTTAACACGTCTTTTACAAAGAGGGACAGGGGCATGGTGGTAGTTTTCTCAAGGGTTTCAGTTTCCTTTCATTCATTCATGTGCAGCAGGCAGAGGCACAGAGGAAGTGACAGCAGATACATGCCAGGCGTGCCAGCTAATTGCTCGGGTGCATCAGGTAAGAAGATGATGACGTCACGGACCTTCACCATCACAGCTCATGTGATTTAAAAAGCACAGTAACACAAATTAACTCAACCTTTTCTGCAGAGGTCCACACAGTCCACACCTCATGGATAACTAAAGCAGACCAGATGTACCTGACCACAATGTGGAGTGTCACAGTAAGACGTTTTACAATCATTTTGCAAATAAGGGTTTAAAAAAGTGTATTACACTGAACTCATAACAGAGACTGTAGATTGCCAAGGAAGGTGGTCAATGTTTAATACTCCACCCAAGTGACAACATGCATTTGATTCCTGTATTCAGAATGATTTTCCATGGCTGGATTCATGTGTTGCTAGTGTCAACGCTAATTTCATCTTCACAGAACATCTCCACAAAAGGAAGTGTTTTGCCTTCCCACCTGCTCATACAGGTCATGCCATAAGAATTTCTGCCTCCATTTTACTCCACGTGGGGTATCCACTCAGTTGATTATTAAGTGCTTCCTCATCTCCTCTAACCATTATGTGGGCCGTAAATCTTCGACACCCTCCAGCCACAGGCAAAGAGAGAAAGTGAGTGAGCACTGGATCACTGTATCTGTCAGTTAATTATCCTGAAACAGGCATCAGGCACGCAGTTTGTTTGATTTTCTGGAGACACTCGAACTCCTGCAGACCTCGCCTTCCTCCACTCACACCTCATCTAACAAAGCCGTGCTTGTTTGCCCAGCGGAGGGGATTAACTGTCGCACCTTTTCCAGATGATACGATCTTTATCGTGAGCTGGTCACATTCTTGATTTCTCCGAGAAGGTCAGGTAGAAGTGAAACAGGCCTGTTGATTACAGACAGGAATTCTTTTATCTTCAGATAAACTGTTTTGCATATTGTTTCTTATCATCCCCACAGAAGGCGTAGCCGAGTAAGGTTGGAATGTTCTGTGTTATCACTTAGTCAGGGTGGCTTTATTTTTAACAGATGAAGATCCCATGACAGGGAAACACACTTCCATGGTAATGAGTGGATTGCTGATTCACGGTAACACACACACACACACACAAGACTAGTAAAGTGCTATATTAAAGGGCCCATATTTTACACCTTTCTGGGATTTAATTTGAGATATTGGTACCCCCAAGACGATATCAATGATATCAGTGGTTTAAAGTAAAATAACTGCTGCAGTGTATTTCCATGTCCCCTCTTCTGCCTCTCTCTTGCACTGCAGACAGAACAGGCTGGTTTCACCTGCCTCATTCATTTTTTATGAGCCCCTCCTCTGATTGGCTGACTGTACTCTGAGTGACATGTGACCAGCGGTCTCATTCTGGCGCATTGACAAACATGAATGGCGACGACCACACCTGAGAGTTGCGTTGTGATGTTTGGATGCAGCTGCAGAAGACCAGCCACACATTCACAGTCGATTACAACAGGATGATTCTGAACGGTCGGGGGAGCGGGTTTGGTGGGTTCGGAGGCTGGACTGGTACTGGCATTGTAGTTTTTCTGTAAATGTTTCTCAAACAGGAGGAACTATGTATTTTTTGGGGAATGTAAGAAAGAGGAGGGGGGGGGGCTGATGACTGATGTGTTTTTAATAGTTTTTGGAAAAACACTAGAGCCCAGAGCACAGAGAATATCAACACATGTTGATTGGAGAATTAAATCAGGAATTCTTTGCAACACTGTCATCAGACACCAGGAAGCAATAGTTTGATAAATAAATAAGAAAGAGCCTTTTTTGAAATTTCCCAAAAATATTATAATGGATAAAATCCAAATAAATGTCTGACCTTGTTAATGAGGGATGCAAGGAGCCTTTTTGACTTATTTTGGAGGTACGGCATAGTTGGTAATCGATTAAAAATGGCTGTGTTCCATTTAGTGTCTCAGTAAACCATCACAGTCAGCTGGTGTGCGCCACAGCAGCTCGGTAGAACTGGCTCAGCTGAATGGAATGTGGTCATCTCTCACTGTTGTAACTTACACCTATGCTATGACATGTTGACATTTCTATTGAGAAACAAGTCTTTTAAAGTCATTAACAGAAAATTCAAGCATCGTATAATTTTTACTCTATTTCCTGTTGTTAATGATCGTTGGAATAGTTATACAATCGGAATCTTTTTGTTATTTGATGTTATCACCAACAGTTCTTCAGCTGTCTTCAACTGAACTCACTTTACTGAAGAATGCAAACAGGTACCAGGTCCCTGTTGAATGAGGAAGACAGTCACATGGTTGTAAAACCACATCACAACAACAACATCACCTTCTGATGATCCCTGTCAATTTATCATGTAGGACAACACAAGCAAGGGAGGACAAGACATGAAGGCTTTACATATTCTTTTCGGTTTTACTTTCAGTCAGTGAAATAAAACTGGAAGAAATAGGTATAAAAAGTATAGATACAATACAAGTTCATCCTGTTTAAAAAACAACCCTCTTGCATTGGAGACATCATTTGTTCTAACTCTAACCCATATGAGTCTCAGGTGTCAATTGTGTCATAATCTGTTTGCTAGTATCAAGTAACTACTTTAAAATGGAATATCAGTCAGATCAGATCTACCAAAATGACAAGATAAACATCTGGATTATATTGTTTGTAACTAATTTGTAAACTGACAGAAATATTTGTAATTTTCATTTAGTTTGAGTAGGTTACGTGGTGGAGCTGTAGTTTACTGTAGTATTTCTCTTTCCACTTGAAGTTAAGCATGCCAGAAAATATGAAAATACAAAATAAAGGTTAAAGAAAATATCCTGATACAGCATGTACACATAAGATACAAGGATGTTGAAAGGTTTTTGTAAATGTTTAGTAATAATATATTTTTATGAAATAAATGTAAATCCCACTCCCACAGTTATAAACTTCTCTTCTTGCCAAAACTTTCTTCTCAAACCTTTGTTATTCTTAAACCAGTGATCACCATCTTTGTCTTTCTGCAAACCACAGGACACCTTGACCCGCATCTCAACTCATCTTATCCAAAACATTACCTTTGCCTGAGGCCGTCTGCTCGTCTAAAAGCCAACACGCAATGGTTCATGGAAGATCAGAGAATCAGAGCAATTTGCATTGCAATGACACCCTTCATTTGTGCCGCCTACTAAGACCGCAGTAAACACAATTAAGCAGCTAATCTCCAAACATTAACACTGCCTTCAGGTAGTAGATGACGACCAACCTCAGCACGAGAGCAGCTAATGTTTACAACATTACCATCAAATCTTGTTTTAATGTGACCAAGGCTACTTCTTGTTTTCTCAGCTTTTCTGTGACTTGGGTTTTTTCCCTATTTAACAAGTTGTTCATCAAAAACCGTGGGAGGTAAAGACATGACAATGTTGTTGTTCAGAAAGGAATGTGAATTCCAATGGGTAAATTCCATCTTAGTTCTAGACACTAACATGTCATCATTGTAAATGTGGAGGAAAACTTGGCTAATGCTCCTTGGAGAATGTTTATCACCTTATAAACATAACAGACACTAGCCCACACCTCAGCCTTATCAATGTACACAAATTCCATAACTTCAGACACCTTTGTTTTATTTTTGAGCCTAAATGTATCTGACACTCGATCTTTGGGTAACTAATTATAGTCTCAGGAATTTCCTCTTAAAACAAAAACTCTTGCCACACACAACAGTTTAAGCAAGTTTCCATGATGTTCCTCGTTCTCTGCTCATGCTCCTATTCTTAGCTTTATCAAACGGGGATGCCCAGGATGATGGCCTTTATTCATGATGACAGGCGAGGGGGTGGCAGTAGGAAGGGTGGATCCAACTGTGATAGGCCTGGTCATGGCACCAAAATAATCTGCACAGTGGGGAAAGTGTGGGCCGCAACCATAAAGAGACGGTCTGGAGGATATCCATGATCAGTGTCACCAGCTTGTTCCATCTGTACTAATGTACTACTAAAGCGCATCAGTTGGACAAGAAACTTTTAATGCCCCTTGTTTTTTTTTATGTGTACCTTTCGCTCTTTGTTTCCCAATTGAATAAGCTGTGGGGCTAATAGATAAAATGCTGTAACTGGCAAGGTAACGGCTAAGTTCTTAGCTTCTCAAAACAGTCCCCGGAGCTAATTACTGTTTTCTCTGTGTTCTATAGTTTACTCGCTGTGTAAACTACACACAAATTTAACTTTTTATTCAATAATGATTCAACCAACAAGGAAGACACTTAGCCAGGCTTAAAGAGCTTGCTTAGGGTTGGTTAGTAAATTTGTCAGCTTGTTTGTTAGGCTCAGTCACTGAGTTTTAACATTTCAGAAGAATCATTGGCCCCTACCACAGTCTGTCTGCCAACCATTTCCCTTCTGTGGAATTAATGAGTACTTGACAGAGGAGGTTAAATAAAGTGGATGTTGCAACTCAACTTCCTCCCCCCATTTTGGACTCTCCTGCAAAATTATTCTGGTCAAATATTCAGGGTCATATTTTCTTCTGGCTAAAAAATATGTTAGACTCCTCAGTCCAAGTCTGCTTCACATACATCATGCCTGATGAATCAGGATCAGTTTTGGCACACACTGGATGCTGATAATGATCCTGATAATGTCAGGCTTGTTTTTGACCTAAAAATCTTAAGTCTATTATCTGACTGACTGTTTTATTTATAGAGGATGTCTTAAAAGTGTTGTTTATCACAATGAGGTATTCTATCTTGCCTTGCCAGGGTGGTTGGCAGGGTGAAGCCAGTGTATTATAGAGGATCATATCAGCAGCAGTCAGTGGCTGTAATAATATGGCCAATGCAGCTCATGACAAAATCATGTTTTTCTTGGACTAGGTGATCGGTCAGCCTCCTGTCTATCAACATAGCTAAAAGCAGAGGGTTCCCCTTAAATTTGGCACAGAACCGAAACTTCTTATTAGTATACATCAGAGGAACTCTTGAAAGTCACTTTACAATTCCACTCTAGTCCATGAGATTGTGATACATGCAAAAAGTGCTAGGAGCACTGTAGTCGCTACTTTTATATTGAAAATAAGTGATTTCAATATAACAGGAGCTGATTGTAGTGATAAACACAGAAAAAAAAGGTTGGAGTACAAAATAGGTGAAGCACCTGGTTGATAAAGAGATGCATTATTGTTTTTCGGAGTAGGTGGAGACCAAAACAAAGCTAAATGGACTAAATTCATCAGGTGGAGACACAACTCCAAGTAGTGATCAGGTTCATTAATCTGCTCTTAGCTGCATTCAGCCTGGTCCTTCTAAAGGAGAAAAGGATCATTCTGGTTCTTCTGCCACTGACACAGTATACTAACTAGCTTAATGTTAAATCACCTTGTACACCACCTCTCTCACTGTGATGGAGAGATCATGAAAGGTCTTTGATTCTCTCCAACACATAATAAAGATCCACAACCAAGCAAACACTATACATGAATGTAACAATTTGAGACTGTGACCCTGTAATGCTCCCAGTGACTGATGCTGTACTTCATAAATCGTCTGTCCCCCTGTCTGCCCATCATAAAACTCTATTTGTTCTGTGCAGTCTAATCGCTGTTTCTAATGCCTGAGTCCAGGTACAGACGGTGTGTGTCATCCTTCACAGACAGACTCTGTTGAGTCCTGCAAGTAAACATAACCTGATAACTTTGACCTTTGTGTCATATTTGCTCAAATAAGCCTCCTGTACTTTTCCTAAACCCCTTTACAAGTCATGGAAACATTTCTAAATGGTACTATTCACTTTGACTGATGACATAGATTCTCCTGTTTGATCTGTCAGTCAATAAAAAAGTCTGAGAACCCGTTCTCTAATTGTTAGTGTGTTGTGTTGCTGTAATATGGCTGTTTTTAACACGAGTGGTGCATTTTCAAATTATAGCAACTGCCTACTAGAGCTTAACTTATACTGTAGACGCTCTGTGGTCCTACCTGAGTGCACCATCAGACGTTTCTTTTGTTTCCATATTATCCTGTCACCCATCAGCCTATCAGTCACTGTGGAACAACAATAAAATGCATCTGTGCCTATCTTCTCACAGCAAACATCCAGACAAAAGATAGAAGAGACAAGAAAACTGTGTGAGAAGTCACAGTTGGGGGGGGGGGGAGATTTGCGTCATGTGTAATTTGTATCATTTCTTTGATCCTCAAAGATTGTGATGTCAGCCTTCGAGCTCGCACTATCAATCTATCTCAATCTGCCTGTCATTTCAAATTTCACTTTCTCATATCTCAGTGAGCCTCATCTTAACTAAGCTCATTTTCCACTTTCTTAGGGTGGATTGTGTGACCAGCAGCCTCAGCTTTGAGAAGACTGTTTCTCTTTTACTGACTTGGATGAAAATCTAAAGCGAGAACAATAGGGCTGGGCTAATTTTTATCAATAGCAATATTACAATATCTGGATATAATGTTTATTCTGAAAGCACAGTGAGGAGGTATAGAATAATTTACCTACCTCAGATTTGTTAGTGTATTCAAGTGTTATTCTCTGATTGACACTTGAATACATAATATTGTGACATTTATAGAATTAGAAAGGTTCGAGGATGCTAGGACAACTTCATTATCTTTGTACATCATGATCTCAGTGGTTTTTCCTTCAGACACCAGGTGCTCAGACTCACTTGCCACACCTTTGGACTTCATTCTCTGATAAGGTTAAATTAATGGGCTGACTCCTCCAACTAGGGAATGTGAGCAGTAGCTGCAGATGACGTGGTGAAACCAGCCATAATAATACCTTGTTTGTGTTCTGTCATCTGACATTTTGTGACGCTAAAAGATTAGTAGTCACACGTCTATTTTCACTAAATAGCGACCCACTTGCTGTGTCTCACACATTCCTCCTGTCTTTTTTATTGCTTATATTTTAGTATTGACAGTTCGTCTTGCTGTTTTTTTCCCCTGTGCATCATGTTCAATGTCACAAACACACCAAAACCTTAAACTGCTTATTGGGTGTTGGTAGGTTTTTTGACCAGTGGAAGAGGGCTTTAGTGACACTTTTAACATTATTCCTAAAAAGTCAGATATTTCCCTCAAGAGTTAGGGGGTGAAACCAATTAAGCTAAAAGATACAATATAAGGGGTGGCCAAAAACAGAACTCCAATTGAATGTCAATAATGCTCTTGGACCTTTCGACAACTATGTCTCTGCAGCCCAGTGGTCAAAAGATGAGTTAATGCAGGATTATCGTGATTAACATAATGAACCTAAAGTATCAAAAGCAGCTACAACTATTCAGTGCAGTGAGTAAAGGCCTGGTTATGCTTAAAAACAACAACAACAACTAGTGCCATGCCTAGTGACATTGGAAACCTTGAGTGAAATGCATGCAAGTTGGAGGTATCAGTGAAGGAAATTAACAAAGATTTGCTGACCACACATACCAAAAGTCAAAAAGGTGTAAAGCATCATCTTCATACTTTTTTACTGCTCATTAAAACTCATGTTAATACAGTTGAATACTTAATCTAGGTCTGTAAAATTAATTATATCCTTATCACAGGTTTGCATTGAACATTTTATTATGTAAAGTAGGTAGTTTCTCCCCTTCAAAATAATGTAGTGTAGTGAAAATTGTAAAATTGCCCTTTGAATTGTAGCTGAGTAGAAATTCACTTTTTTACTTAAGTACCTTGTAAATTGCATTTGACCAATGCATCCATGTGTACCTTATTAAATGTATTTTCAATAACTGCATGGACCCTTGAAGCCTGTCTAATCTTAATAGTTTTCCACTTGACTTGCAGGCAG